GGGGGAGGGAGTCAGGGGGTGGTGGAGTCAGGGGGTGATGGAGTCAGAGGGTGATGGAGTCAGGGGGTGATGGAGTCAGGGGGTGATGGAGTCAGAGGGTGATGGAGTCAAAGGGTGAGAGACTAAAGCGTCGTGCAGTTCTTTCGGAGTAGTACTGTAGTTGTCAGAGGAGTTGACTAGAAACCAACTAAAACTGGACTTGATTGAAGAACGACTAGGACTTGGTTTTTGATCTGAAAAGTGATTTAACTCTATTGGAAACTATATATATATATAAAAAATATATAAAATATATATTTACTCATAAAAACTGTATATACATTATATGTTGAAGTACTGATCAAATTCTTAAAGTACATGGTTAATACTACACATCATAGAAATATATTTATATGCTGTATAATTATAACGACAATATTTATATTATTATAACAGTATATATCATATATTTATTAAAAATATTATTATAAAAAATATATGATATAATTTTTATTTTTTATTGTATATTATTGTATGTTCTCTTGTCTTTTCTTCATTAATGTGAATAAATGTCCGACTGGTTTTGACCTTAAAACCTTGTGAATAATAATTTTATGTAGAAAAGCAACAGAATCCTGTGTCATTCCTTATATTCTTACGAACTACAGCCTCAGAAAATGCTACGGTCGCGGCTTGTTCTTACTACAATGCGACTTCCACGTCAGCAGCTAAACAAATTAAGCCACGTGCAGGCGGCATGGACACGGTGTCAGAGCCAATCACAATCCCCGCTGCCGTGTGAAACGGTTCAAAAATAAAACATTTGCGTGACTGGAAATATATGTGAATATTAAGCAGATGCACACGGCACCGACGCTCTACAAATGACCTTCACTCTCCATCTGTTGCCAGTTCGTGCGTCTCTACAGCTCCCTCCGCAGGAGCCGATGCCCACTGGGTAATCTGACCAAGTGATGCGTGGAGCAGAGCTGTCTTGCGGCTCTTCATGCCAGAAAGTGTACGACGAAGCCGCGTGTGCGTGCGTCGTTATGTAAAATGTCTCCGTGTCTAACAACAACAACCGAACAACAAGACGAGGCTGTTGCGAGAACTTCTGCGGCCGTTGGTCACAGTCCACCCCAACGGTTCAGATTATTAAAATATATATTTGTTCAAATCAGTTTCTGATTGACTTTATTATTTAGGCAAATTAGAAACAAATTAGAAGAAAAAAAGATTAAAATATCAGTCAAATTATTAGACGTCACACAACGAGACCTTTGGGATTGAATCATCAAATAAACTCTCATTTTATTTACGACATTATATTCATATATCGATGATATCTTTGAAATTGTTTTGGAAATGTTCTAAAGTAGGAAGTCCACAAGTCAACATACCACAAATATCGTAACCAATAACAAAGGTAAAGTTAGCGTTGCCTCTTAAAATCCTCATAATATTGCTACAAAGAAGATGCAACATGATCTGAGTTTCTTAATTAACCAATAGTTCAGAGAACAGTTATTGTTAAAATGCTTTATAAACTGATGTAACGGAGTTGGGAGGTAACGATACACTCAACTCACGATACGAGATATCTGAGTTTCTTAATTAACCAATAGTTCAGAGAACAGTTATTGTTAAAATGCTTTATAAACTGATGTAACGGAGTTGGGAGGTAACGATACACTCAACTCACGATACGAGATTTTCTGCTCACGATACGATTTGAGCACAATTTTCTGAAACAAAATGAGCGGTGAAATCCATGCAGTACAGACTGAAGAAGCTGCGATGTAACAGTAAAGATAAAGATCCTATAACGATGACGAGATGATTTGATAAAAATTCAAACGTGAATTTTCTTAAGTCGTCGGGTCATGTGATCGACTCACGTCAAGGCTGGGACTGACAGTACGATCAGAAAATAAAGTAGTCAATTAGCAGGTTAGGAAACAGCGTTGGACAAACATGCGGGGAGACGAGCGTCAAACCGACAACCTCGCAGCAGGCCTTACCTTCTTGTGCAGGACTTTTATCGGCTTTACAGAGTTTCCCATTGGAGAAAAAAAAAAGACAAAAACCAAAACAACGGAAAGAGTCGTTTATGTTTTGTCTTTAAGTGCTGCGTTGGTTCGCGTCCTGTTCGTAAGAGCACACGTCTGCATGTGTGTCGGCATGAGTTCCAGGTCATGCATGAGGAAAAGAGGAAGCAAGGAGGGATAGAGGTTCAGTGGGTCAGTGAGCGAGGACGGAGGACGGAGGACATTTGGAGGAAAAAAAAAAAAGGTTGGAAAAATCAGAGATCAGAGAGAAGAGGAAACGAGGTGAGGAGGTGAGGGACGAGGAGAGTCCAGGAGTGACCCGGGGGGTGAGGACGAAAGGAGGGACATGAAGACAAGGAGGTGAGTAAGTGAATAAGAGCAAAAGACAGAGCAGAGGAGACAGAGACAGAGACAGGAAACACGGACGTGGACGGAGCGAGACACCAGAGTCAGGAGTGGGAAAAAACGGCAAGATTACTCCTTCATTCCCTCCTCTCCCCTACAGTCTCCTCACTCCCTCCCTCCCCTCGCCACACTCTCTCTTTTACTTCCTCCCTCTCCCTGTGTCTCTCTCTCTCTTTCTGTCCGTCCGTCCATCCATCCGTCCGTCCCTCATCTCACCATCACTCATGGTTTTATCCATCTTTTCCAACCTGACCATCCAGGCTCATTTGGACCAACATTGACCTTCCTCTGAGCCAGATGCAGTGTAGACATTAATCCACACACACACACACACGCACACACACACACACACACACACTCACACTCACACTCGATTAAACACTCATGGGTGTGGGGCTGTGAAGCTAAAAATATAACACCGTTCCTCTTCCCTCTGTGCAGTTCTGTATCTCCACCCTCAGCATCCAACCATCCTCTGTTTCCTTCTTCATCTCATATGCTCACCCCCCCTCACACACACACACACCAAAAAGTGATGAAATCTGCTGAATAACAACATAATAAGAGCCGTCTGTGGCTGAGACCGCAGGACGGTCAAAAACGTCTCCAGTCAGACCTGTCCCCATCACTTGGAGACAGAAAACAGAAAGTCCAGGGACTGGACAGAAAATACAGGCATCGCTGCAGGGTCAACTCACCTGCACCCCTAGTGGACCACAGAGAAATGACTGCTGTGATTTTGTTTTGTTTTGTTTGTTAGTTTTTTCATTTCTCACTGGTTTATTACTCCCCCTACTGGTGTTACCCTTAAATGTACAGAACAAGAAAAATCCTGTACAATAAAACAAAGGGACACTAACAAAAAAAAAAAAAAAAAAAAGAATCACCACAAGATGGAGCAAGAATTCTGATTTGACAAAAGGAAAAAAAAATTACCAATTATTCAAAATTGAAAATCTATCGATCAGTGGTTCTCAACCTGGGGTTCAATAGGACTATATATAATCTATATATCTACATATATATAGATATATATGTATATATGTTTATATATGTATAAATATATCTGAAATTCTGTAAATATAACATGGACTTGTGTTTGATATTTCCGTAAAACCGTATTGTTTTTTAAATTCTGGAAATATAAAAATAAAAGTTCTACTACAAACTACTGTGTCTTCTACGGTACCGACTCAGAACTCCACCTCTGTCTCCAGACCGTCCTGCTCTGACAGCCTCGTCTCCGTTCAGGACTAACCAACCTCCCGTTAGACCCCGTCTCCTTCTCTTCTACTCCACTAAACGCGTTCCGTTCAGGATCTCTCGGCTCCGTCTCCTCCGTGGATGATTCATCCGTCCTCTCACCGCAGGCTCGTTGTGAACTTCAGAACACATTGGACGTCAGACACAGGAGCCGTCAGGACACATAAAAGTCAGAGCCCTAGTGTGCACGGCTGTAAAAGACGTCCTTCCTCCCGTGTCTCTCAGACCGTTTCCTGTCCTTTACTGTTCTGGACAAACTAGTTCTACGTCTTCCAAACTATTTCTATTATCGGACGAGGCTCTTCCCTTACAGCAATAAGATCAATGCTTTAATATATGTATGTACTGTATGTAATACTGTATATTTATTTATATTTTTAATATTTATGTGCAGTTTTCGGTATCATTCTTAATTGACCAATCAGAGCATATTAACTGTAATTTATTAATTATTTATTATGATCACTTTGGATAAAAGCGTCTGCTAAATGTGTTGTAATGTAGTATAATATAAATATATACAAAAATATTACTAAATATGCTTTGATTGGTCAATTATAAATGATACAAAAATTACACATAAATATTAAAAATATAAATAAATATACAGAGTATTAACATTATTATATTTCAAAAATATTTTTTTCTAATATATATGTTTTTCTTTGTGTAAAACACTGATGTGACCCCTGCAAAAAAATATAAATATATATATTATAATATTAATATATGAATATGCTTTGATTGGTCAATTATAAATGATACAAAAATTACACATAAATATTAAAAATATAAATAAATATACAGAGTATTAACATTATTATATTTCAAAAATATTTTTTTCTAATATATATGTTTTTCTTTGTGTAAAACACTGATGTGACCCCTGCAAAAATATATAAATATATATATTATAATATTAATATATGAATATGCTTTGATTGGTCAATTAAGAATGATACAACAATTACACATAAATATTAAAAAATATAAATAAATATACAGTTTTCATATCATAATTTTGAGTAGTTTGAGTATTTTTATATTAAAAAATAAATTTTTCTAATGTATATCCTTTTTGTATGACACTGATGTGACCCTCCAATCAAATGACAGTGACAGCAGTGGCCCTCGGTCCAGAGGTTGAGACCCGTGTGAGTCATAAAAAGATGATTATGCGTCATCTTTTACTACGTGACCTTGTAGGTCACGGTTCATTAACATGAAAACAGCACACACACAAAAACTCTTTAGCTTCAGTGTTGATTAACATAGGATTTGAGTAAACAGTCGATGAACTGATGAAAGGACGAACGCGTCATCACTGGAGACGATATTGACACGTTCTATTTCAGTCAATTTTACCTCCCTGGTTCCTCCTCTGACTCACTTGTCCCTCTTGTCCTCTGTCTCTCTTGGTGCCTCATGCTGATTTTGCCCTCCCCCCTCTCCTACCTCCTCCCCTCCCCCCCAGCCTGGGG